CCTGCCACTACTGCTTGCACCCCAGGAGGGCACAGGGGGGCATGTGCCCCCAGATCAGCATAGGGTAGGGAGGGTGGGCTGCAGTTGCAGGCTGGAGCCAGGGCTGTGTTGGGCTCTTCTTGGTGGGGGCTGGCTCAGGGCAGGGGCTACGGAGGGGGCTGCAGCCATCCTAGATTTTGCCATAGCTCCCTCCCAGTGCTACCACCACCACACATCTGGTACAGCCCTGGCTCTTCCTGGCACATGGGGGGAGGTGAGGGTTGAGCTGGGAAGAGCTGGGGCTGTGCTAGGCAGGCAGCAGCAGCAGCACTGGGTGGGATTTTTGGGGTGGCTGCAGCCCCCCCCATAGCCCCCGCCCCAAGCCCAACCCCTGCCAAGAAGAGCCTGGTGCAGCCCCAGCTCCAGCCCATAGTCGCAGCCCACCCGCTCACCCCGCAGAGATCCGGGAGCACACAGCCCCCCGTGTCCTCCTGGGATACAAGCAGCAGAAGCTGACCCGCCCACCCACAATCTGCAGCTCCATCCTGTGCACCACCCTGCCCCAGTTGGGCAGTGCCTGCCCCTGCCCCCCCCCTCACCATGGGACGGTTGATCTGCCCCCCCATGCCCCTTCCCTCCCCCTCCCCTTCCAGCACAACAGACTTACCAGCTGGAGGCAGCTCTCCATGCTGCTGAGCTGTGCTCCTCGCTGCCTGAGTGCTGTGCTGTGGCTGCATGCACTCACAGCATTTATCAGCCAAATTATTGGCTACATCAGGCCAATGTCCGATACAGCCAATTTTCTTTATATCAGTGCGGATCCGATATCGGATCGATGTATCGGTGCACCTCTACTAGCTATGCCTGACTTTTATGGATATTTAAGTACCTAAAGATGCATATTGGTGCCAAAAGCTATTGGGTATCCAACTCCCGCTGGCACTTAGGCACTTAGACACTTGTGAAAATCCCATTATGTGCCTGAATACCTTTACAAATCTGACCCTTAGTCTTTCTGTATGTCAGTTCTCTAACTATATAATGGCAATAAGAGCACCTCCATATCTCAGAACAGGACTGAGAAGATAAATACATACAAGAATGTGAGGTACTTGGATATTATGGGAATAGAGGTCATATAAGTATCTAAGAATAATAATTAGGGCATCTCCTAAATTATTTGTTTTTTTCTAGCAAACAAGTCCAACACAAAACATAAAGACCTTGTTTGTACTAGGGGACTGTATCAAAAAATCCTATCCTGTCAGTCATAGGTTTAGTTAATTTGGTGGTAAACACACTGGAAACCACCAGAGGCTTGCTAACAGAATCAGTGGACATGCCAGTGGGGATTGCAGACAAAGGCAGTGGGCAAATTTTGCTCTGAGTTACTTTGGTTTGACCTCAGCTGAGTTACTCTGGATTGACACTAGTGTAAGTGAGAGTAGAATTTGTCCCCAAAAGAATAGTTCTAATGCTTGGTAATGTCAAAGCTGATAACCTACATTCCCCATCAAGCTCAGTCTTGAATAGACAGTATTGTTCTTGCTTTTTCTTATTCAGCCTCATGTCACTACACTGACTGTCAAGTATTTAAAAAAAAAAAAGAAGAGTGAGGGAGAGGATTATGGAAAGAGACTATCAAATACCTTGAAATGTCACTTTGTGTCTGTTTTGCAGAAGTGTGCTCTAGCAATGTAGTTTCACAACAAAGAGATGATATCATGCTTAATGTACTTGCTTTGGATCTCAGGTAAATGAATACCTTATTTCAGTGCTAAACTCAACAGTGTACAGAAATGGAATGTCTTCAACTGACTGAATTAATTAATTAAAATTATACCATCTACTGCACTTGGGAGCATAGTTTCATAGTAGCTAGGGTCAGGAGGGACCTGAACAGATCATCTAGCATGTATTCCCTTCCCTCTCAGCACCCCCTAGAGCTTTCCTTACCAACCAGCTGGATAAGTAGGAAGTACAAATACTTGTAGCATAAAAGTCTGATTAACAGATTGCCCTCTTGTAGTAGAGGAATAGGGAGTTATTCCTTTAATCAGTGTAGGAACTCTCAGATGCACTCTCATGGAGCGCATGCATTTTAAAACTGTCATAATCAGGCACAGCAGCAACGCAATCTAGCTGGTTCTTCTACTTGGCACATATTTGGAACCATCCCCCACTGTGCCATCAGGGTTTCATCCTCTTTTCTGCTGTGGAAAGAAGAAAAGGTACAACACACACAAATTCAAGAAAGGCAGAATTCTGGGACATGAGGAGATTTAGTGAGAGCTGAAATGAGTAGAAAGGGCTCTTGCATTCTTGTTAAAACAGCCTATCTCAAATTACTATTTTAAACAAGTTGGGTGAGTTAAAAAGACTCAGCAATCCTCTAGGGTGCAGGCCTTCATTCATGTGATTCATTCTGAAGCAACAAAGTAGGGCTCCAGCAACCAAACTCACCGAGAGAGATTTACCTACAAAAGAAAACTAAGGACTGTAGTATGAATAACAGTAAAACACGTTCCATATTGCTCTTTTATGAATTTATCTGTTTCAGCTCTGATAAGCAGATTGAATCTTCTTATATGACTTTGGGAGTTAGGAAACTGTCACCTTGTTTCAGCTCATTCAAAGTAAATTGTCTTCTAAAGGGAAATAGGACTATTCTTGGTGACTGTGTCAGCTTTACAGAAGCAATATATTTTCCCGGTGTTTGTAAGCCCTACAAAACTGACTGCTTGCAGACAGGCCCTCTCAGAGGTCGAAAGAGGCCTGGGTCACTTCTATTTTTTGAGGCTTAAGATACAATGCAATAATTTGTAATAAATGTTCCTTTTTTATTTAACAAATGCTTTTCTAGCTTTTTTCTTCTTCTTTCAATCCTGTCAGTGTATCTCTGTGTCTGTATGTATAACCTCATTTGGAGATAACGTCAAAAGTCTAAATTTGAGGCCCTCTGTGAATGAGAGGTCTGGGCCAAATGGCTCTCCTGGCCCCCCCTGTGATAGGCCCTGCTTGCAGAGACAGAGGTGCTCCAGGAGGGTGGGGGGGCACTTTAATTACCGAGCCACGCTAATTAAAAGCGCCAGAGCATCATTTATATCAGTGTCTCCATGCTGAAAAATGATGGCAGTGCACTTTGAGCTAAAGCTCATCAAACAAGCTTTAGTTTAAAGCGCCCCACCCCTGTTTTTCAGCATGGGAATGCTGATACACATGATGCTGGATAGCTGGAGCACATTAATTTCCACGCTCTGGCAGACTCAATTAATCGAGTCTTCTCTGATGCGCCAGATTTACAGCCCATTGGAGCAGCCTTGGTGTGCATCTGTAAGAGCCCAGAGAATGGTGGACCGCTACACATGGCAAAGGATGGGCAGATATGTACCTCAGGGGAACAGCACCCACTAGGCCGAGTCACAGCTTAAGACCCTGTCTTCTTCTCCCTTCAGTTTACCTGTAAGATCTCTTTATGACTCCACCAGCCAATCTCCCTCTATGCTTCCAAATCCACAGGGAAGAGGCATAAAATATTTTGAGCTTCCCCATTATAGCGTATTGGCAAAACATTGAAACAGCGTTGAAACAGTGTCACTGTTTCGATGAAACAAAGCGGAACAGCAGTTTCGAATTGAAATAAAATTCAGGAACAGCGGGAAACTACACAGCAGTGGGGAACCATGATAGCAGCATTATCGAACACACCCATTATTTCATGCCGGACACACGTGCTCGTAAGCTTGTAAACGACATGTCCATTTAGCTCTCAATGTGCACCAAAGAAGGGTATCATTTTGTCTTTTGTTTTTATGAGCTGAAGGTGTGAAATTCACTATAGGATTGTAGCACAATATACTGAGAACTGCAGGGCTCAGTGAAAGGTCTATGAGTGGGTGGAGAAGTGCAAAAATGCCTGCACATCCATAGTGGAAGAACACTAGTGGAACATCTGTAGTGGCAGGACAGCCTAGCACTACCACAATGGAGGAGAACACTGCCAAAGTTGATGCTGCTCTATCATGCTAGCAAGCAAGGGAATGTTCCTGAACTAGTGGTAGAAGTAGGCATAAGCTCTGGCAGTATGCACACCATTTTGCATAATTACCTTAATTATTGGAAAGTGTATGCCCATTGGGTGCCAGAACAGCTGACAGATGTGCATAGATGACCACATGTGCAAGTGTGTACCTGGCTTCTGCCACATGTATGGGATGAAGGTGAGGGCTTCCTCTCACACATCATCAGCAGGGACGAGACCTGGGTCCTCTGGCACGATCTGGGGAGCAAAAGGCAGAGCATGCAGTAGAAACACACATCATTGCCACAGGTCTAAAAATTCCTCACTCAGCCATCCTCTGGCAAGGTCTTGCCCATCCTGTTTTTTGGACTGCATGGGGATACTCCTTTTTGACATAATGGAGCATTAAGGTATTCCTCTCCAGCACGACAATGTGAGGTTGTGCAGCACATGGGTGACTGCCAAGACTCTACATGGTCTGGGCTCTGAGATCTTACCACATCCATCCTACAGTCCCAAACTTGCACTAAGTGATTATCATCTGTTTGGACCATTGTAGGAGGTTCTTTGTGGGAGCAGATTCACCAGTGATGCACATGCAAGTCATGGTGCTGGAGTGGCTGTCACAGCAAGCAAAAAAACTTCTTTGTGGCAGTATGAAGCAACTTGTGATTCACTGGAATACCTGCATTGCAAGGCACGGTGACTTTGTAGAAAAGCAATGTGGTCCAGTAAGTGATCATAGTACACAACATAGCTTTATTTTGAAATTGCCATTAGTTTCTGACATGCCCTCATAGTATAAAGTATTGTTGTGGTCCTGTTATTCTTAACAATGCCAACCAGAATGTTAAAAAAACAAACCAAAAACCCAACCTGAGACTGGCATAAATACCATAAGATTTTTTTTTAAATGTAGTAAATTTTAGATGGTTTTACTTTACCTTTTGGAATCTGAAACTTTAGGCTGTGCATTAATCACATTTTTTATGTTTTTCTCCATAGATATCAGGTCTAGAAATTTACTTTTATTTACTTTTTAAAGATTGTCATGACTGCATCCATGAGACTTGAAGACTAACACTGGCACTTGTAAAAGCTAGAAATGCTGAATTCTCTCAGTCTTCTTCATAGCACTCTGGACCTTCTTTTTTAACCTCCTAACTGACAGAGTTTAAGCCACTTTTGACTCTTAAAATGTGCTGATTATTTCATTTGAGTTGTTTATTATTTTACAGTGATCAGCACTGTGTGCTAGGAATTCCACTCACATGTGCATGCATGTATGTGAAGAGAAGCCACCCCCACTTTCCAACAGTACAGCTGAATTTCACATTTTATTCAGAAGTTCCTTAGATAGTCACCGAGGGTGCTGACAGATGTGCAGCTCCCTGCTTTAACTCATGGTGCTTCACAGAAAGCACCATGAGTTAGAATGACCCCCACCCCTACCCAACCGACGTTCTGGTGCTGTCTGCAGGAAGGGAGAAGGGATAGTCCAAAAGAAAACCCTAGTTTCTCAAGCTTTTGGACAATGACTCTCTCTTACTATATTCTTATACTGTACCATGCACAGTGGATCCCTCTTGGATCAAAGCATGTAAGCACTACTGTAATAAAAATAACAAATAGTTGTGATGGTGATAAGGAATGAAAGTCCAGTCACTTACCTGTTTCGTTTCTTTTTCCATTTTGGGTTGTTGTACCAACCTGCATCTTTACAGGAAGCACAAAGCATATACAATATTACAGGGCAAAATGGTAAAAAAATAGAATATATGCAGATCATAAGTTTGGCTGTAACTCTGAGGAGAAACAAAAACCCCACTGAGCTGTGTTACTTGCAGTTTTGAATCTGCACCTTTTGGAGGAGACACTGCAAAGACTGTATAACTCTGAACTAAGATCATCAGGGCAGATTGGGCTTCTGCTATTAATCACGGAGCCTTGGTCATTGTTCCTTAACAGTAATGGCTCTTATTTCAGTAACTTCAGAGTTGTTTCCCAATCTTAGTGGAGGAGGTCTGTCCAGTTTTCCTGCCAAGTGCGTCATGGTTCTGGAAAGTCCCATTGTAAAAAAATCACTGCTCCAGGGTTATAAAGAGAAACACACCCTGTTCATTAGGGACTTTTTTACAGTTTGCAAGTCACTAACTATGTTCCTTTGTTTTCATAAAGAAATATGTATATAAGATGGAAAGCATTTGATAACAAACTACATTTCTGAGATTTTTCACTTACCCTATGCATTAAAAAAAAAGCTAAGGGGTTTCATTCAGCTCTTATCTTTAGGAAATCCTGTTTAATGATCTATTTCTTCTCCCATAGAAACATTTCACACAGCCAGTGAGCCTTGTAGCACAGAAAGAGTATTAAAGTATTATTTTTAATATGGTACTAGGTTCTCGATAGGCAGGCTTGTCCTACAAGAACATAGAGTTTTAGGAGGGGATTTTGAATGAGAATGTTTAATTCCCATTAAAAAAAAAAATCGTCTCTCCATATAGCCACATCAGTAATTTGCAGAGGGGTTCTCTAGATTAGTTTCACTTTTTGAGAAAATAAGAATTTTTATGAATTCCAATCCAGTAAATACATATGCATGGGCATAGTCTCATGGGCTCGCTGTGTAAAATTACCATATTTTCTCACATATAGAATATCCCTGTATATAATATGCACCGTGATTTTGAAAGGGAGTCACGGGGGAAGATCTTCAATTCAAATGAGTGATTGACAGCAAGGGGGGGAGGGGGGGCTGATCCTGCCCCCAAGCCTACAACCAGCCCTGCACACTAGAAGGAGCTTAAGCACTGAGCCAGCACTCTGGGTCAGAGACTGCATACCAAGTCCAGGACCGTACATTTGGTCCAGGGCTGCCTGCTGGTTCTAGAGCCATATGTTGGATCTGACCCCATGTGCAATTTTGGGTCACACATCAGGTCTGAAGGACTTGGTTTGCTGGGTCCAGCCCAACATGCAGCTCCAGAACCAGTACCCAGGGGCAGACCTGGCATGCCACAAGCAGGTACAGGGCTGTGTTGGGTCAGATCTGGTGGACCAACCCTGCATGTTGGCTTTATCTGGTGCATGGCTGGCAGGGAAAAGGAAGGGGACAGGGGAGAGGGGGACAGGAGTGGCAGCAATTGCTGTGACTCCTAGAGCCATGGCAATTAGAGCTGACACCACTCCACTCACCATCCCCTGCCAAATTTCCAAACCTGTGGGAATCCCTTTTTCCTCACATGTAATGCACACCCCAATTTTTCCCAACTCGTTTTGGGAGAAAAGGTCTGGGTTATATATGAGAGAATATGGTACTTGGAAGCCCGTGTCTGCAGGTTGGGGCTGTGATTTTGAATGCTGATCTCCCTGAAGACTGAAGGCTGTTTTACTTTGGAAGAGTTTAATAAGATACCAAAAAACAATGCTCAAGGGAGGTTCTTATGTAGGGTTTTGTATAATTGTTGATTAATCAGAGATAAATGTGGCTCAGTGCTAGGACAAGAATGCAGATGCTTAGACCTGTTATCTAGGAGGAACAAAATATGAAATTAAAAAGGAAAATTAAAACTGTGGAATCAGACAAAATGAATGCCTTAAACTTTGGTCATACGAGTCATAAGATGACCATAACAGCTTTGTGGGGAACTGCTGGCTCTGCATATTAGAGCAGACAAAGGGAAAGTGTTTGTTCTTTGTAACTCCCCTGCAACTGCTTCGTTCACCGTGGCTTTGAAGATAGCAGAAAAAAAGTATGTGTTTGTTCTCCCTGAGATAACAGAGTGTTTGCTAGTTGTCTTTGACTGCTTACTCGGAGAATTTTATTTTTGCAATCATGTCCTGTGTAACAGTCTGTTTAAAAGCTTATAGAAACTGCATGATTCTGTTTAAAGGCGGAGACTTCCCAGGAGTGCTGGTGAATCCATGTTACTCTGAGCTCTCCCCCATGGTACTGTGGATCTGAATAAAAGCTTCTACTGACCTGACCCTAAAGTCTACACTTGTTTTTGCACGACAAAACGAATACATTCAATTGTCTATAATGTGGTTCAAAGAAATGGAAAATAGCAATAATTTGATTGCTCTAAATAGTGTAACTTGTCTTCACATATTTCTCTTTTGCACTCGCAAGAGGAGTCTTTCCTGTCTTTTGCAAAATCAAATTTTTGCCACTTAAAAGAACATCCTAATAAAATAATGATTTCTAGTTTTCAGTACAGATCATTCTGAAGTGCTCAATCTAGTCCTGAGCACTGTTTTCCTACCTATTTGTCTGCTGCTGATGTATCAAATATCATATATTGTTCTAAAGAAGTATGTGAAGCCACATAAGTATATTCATTTTATTTCATTATAATTTGCACTAAATCCTGGATTCTCAGCTTTCACATGTAAATTAGTGATCTCCTCTCACAAAAAAGTTGCTTAAAGTATAGGTAATAATTGGTCCACGTAATGCTCTTATAGAATTCAGTCCAGAAAGGTGATGAGTACTATGGCTCCATTTGTGAAATCATGTTGGCATATTCTTAAAGCATGTGATATCCCCAATGGCACCAATTAAACTACTCACAGGTTTAAATTTAAGGGCTTGTGTAAGAATGCTACAGTGTTAGGGCATGGCTGAGCGGTGCTCAGCACTTCCCAAGAGCAATAAAGCACCTCAGAGGATCAGGCTGCACTCTTAACATGAATCCTTGCTTAGAAGAAGTAAACACCATATAAGGTTATGGGGGCCTCTCTTTCATGGTCAGGTTAACTCTTCCATGTTCTTCTACAATAGTTTTCTTCTCAAGTGTGCTCTCTTGCCTGTTTGTTTTTGCCTTTTGTGTATGCACCCACGTAGTGCACCACTATGGTAAACCATGCGCTGTGCCTATGGCGCAGTAACCACCTGTACTACACCGGGCTTTAGTACTTTCCCATCAGGAAGTACTAAAGCAAGGCACCATAGCAATGTCGCCATACAGTGATGTGTAGATGTACCCTTCATGTATGTATCAACCACCATCATAGAGGCAGTTGGGCTTTTTGTTCCCAGTATTCCCATTGGAAATCTATTTCTTTGTCCCTTTGAGTAGTTAATTTTTTGTATATTTCTCCTGCTCATTCATACATCTTCTAAAAGCATTACCAAAGTGGAAATGCATGTTGTTAAATCAATAACAGCTGAAATGTATCATAAATGTCCACTGATATAATAATTCAAGATGCTTTAATCAATATTACAAAAGCTGTGCTTCACTGATTAAGTATATCTTGGATAAGTGATGAGTACTAGAAACTTGCCAGTGGAAAATGAGAGAAGAATTTACTATACCTGAAGGGTACAGAACAAAGGATAAAGAGGAGTTATTAGAATGGTGTGCAAGTGCATTGATAGGAAAAATAGGGCAAAATTAAGAAAGGAAAAACGTGGGTGAACTTCACAAGAGGTTTCCTTACAGTGAGACAGATTCATAGATGTTAGGGTCGGAAGGGACCTCAATAGATCATCGAGTCCGACCCCCTGCATAGGCAGGAAAGAGT